GCATCCCAAGCTCCCTGACCCGCAGAACGCTGCGGGAGGGAAGGAGCAGCCTCAACGTAGTGCGTGGCTGATGCATGCAGCAACATCGTCGAGGACCGAGCGCCGGGAACGTGGACAGGCCTGTCACGGCATACAGACCGCTACAATAGCCATTGATGATGCCAAGAGTCCTAACTAAGAACTGTTGTGATCATGCAAGGTTCGGAAAGTACCGTTCAATGGGACATCGTGTACTCTACCAGCTTCTCATGTCTGATCCGAATGTCGATTTCGTCTCGTTGCGCCCACTTGGTCCAGAGATTCATTTTCAAGCACAACGATAAGACGAAGTTTTGTTCGAGCGGCCCCATCATGCTTGTAGTTAATGAACCCATTTTCCCAGTTTAGTCTTAGCGTTGAGCCGCACCCCAGTCACTGCATGTAAGCTGCAGGTGCACGCGATGGAGACTGAAGCGGCTTTTGGTCATTGGGTCGCTATGAGCTTCTTGGAGACCGCCTGTCTAGTCGCATCATCCAATCGTAACTGTAGCTCAAACTGTGAATCGCAGAAACGTTGATCATTCGAAGACGTCACCCTAAATGCAGGGGTGGTTACCCACTACTAGGTTATCAGCTAGGCGCGTCTGCCGTGCCTGTATCGTTAAAAAGCAACAGTTTGAACATTGCGATCTTGCATGCAAGATGCTGCGTGCTGGACCGGCAATCGCGTAGTCTTGGATGTGGTGGCTGTAAAGCCGTGCCGCATGACGTTTTGCTTCCCCAGAAAAGTATGTATAGTAGATCACTGCTACTTCAGATGATGTGAAGCGTGAGTTACCACTTATAAACACCTGCGTCTGCCAGCAGTTGCTCGGAGTGGCCGTTCTTTGCTTTGTTGAAACACAAGAGCTGTAAGGAGAAATACCTCGGCAGGTAATGAAGGTGGGTCGTCGACGGCACGAAGCGTGTTGTGATTTCTGCTTGAAGTGCTACCCTCTCGCTAATACACACGAGGAGTGGAGCAGTCTGCATACAAGACGTCGTTCTAGAGAGGCATCCCTCGAAAACGGGTGATGGGCAGAGAGCTGCAAGCTATGGGTCGCTCACGCTCAATCGCCTAAACCTCCGTCAGTAAATGTGCGCATCGCATTGGAATCTCCTCGAAACTACATTCTGTACGTCGTATCTGGCAGTCACCGTCCACATGCACTATAACGAATTGGACATCCATGTCTTCAGAGGCGAACGCCTCGCCACGATGACTGTGCATGCCGATTTGTCAGGGCGGTGTAGAGCAGGGGTGTACTCTGCGAGCTCCAATACGTTTTCACGCTGGATTATGTCTTTCTGTCTGTCAATTTCGACCTTATGTCGTTGCCACGTTAGAGTTGCTGAAGCGGGTGAAAATCATGAGGCGTAGTGGTGAAGAGAAGGAGCTCTGGCGTCCTGTGGTCGTGGCGGATGAAAACGCACGGACGACAACAGTTATGTGACATCACATGGCTGAGGGCAGAGCACACGACAACAACTTCTAGCAGCACGCGATTGGAACATAAAGTACAAGTCTAAACCATGATATCGTACGCTGTGCAACATAGGTAGCAGAGCAGCTCGTAACTAGAGCCTATTCCTCGTTCCAAGAAATTCGTACCTTCTTCCATGACATTAAGCGATGTTTAGTGACAGTAGGAAGTATAGGAATACACGCGAAAACGCCGAAGAGTGACAGCACCATGCTGGGCCAACATTGTCCACGCCCTGGTCTTCTGTCTGTGCAAACATTGCCGCTCACCTTTCGTATGGGTGCAGCATCCTGTCCTCTTATATCCTATGATGTCAAGCTTATGAAGTCGTAGACAGCGGATCGACGTGATCGCCTTCGAAAGCAGCCTTGCTGGGATCGTTCCGCCTCATTATGCCTTCGACAGGGCCGAGAAGTCGCTGGAAGCCGTTCTTTCCGAGCGTTGCAACCTTGACCTCTGTCCTGCTGATGACTGATGCAGCACGAGGAGCATCATTGAGCAAGGCCAGCTCGCCGAAGTAATCGCCCTTTTTGTATTGGTTGACGGCGCTGTCTACGCCGCGCTTGAAGACCTGGGCTTCTCCGGATTCAAGGAGGAAGAAGGACTCGCCGACATCGCCTTCTTGAATGATGGTTGTTCCAGGAGGGTACTTTTTGGTTTCGAGAGCATCGGCAATCTTGGAACGCTCGTAGGGCGTTAGGGTGGACAGCAGAGGAACTTCCTCTAGGAAGCCTTCGTACATGCGTCGGCGCTGGAAGGCACTATCCATGAGGATGCGACGGAAGGTAATGCGATCTAGCGCCCAGAGCGTAGATGGCTCTGTTGAGGTGACGGTTGCGGCACGGGGAGCGTTGTACATGAGAGCTAGCTCACCAAAAGAACCACCGGGTCCGACGGTGCCTACTTTGCTGCCAACACCATCCAAACCACCCTCAACCTTACCCGACTGGTTGACATAAATGTCGAATGAGCCCTTTTCGACGACGTAGAAGTAATCTCCCACATCGCCTTGCTGAATGACCTTTATGCCCTTTGTTGGTATCGGCTTCTCGTGCAGCGCGCCGAGCACCATGGCTGACTGGTCGTCATCGAGATGTGAAAAGAGAAAGTTGCCTGAGACGGCAGACTTGAGGCGCGATAGCTGGTCCTGCGTCTTCTGGTGGAAAGGTGGGGTGAAGTTGTCGGCGGCACTCGAGGCGGGGTTGAGCGACTCAGCAGAGACGGAAGTGCGCCTGTTGGTGTTGTAGTTGCTGGGGAAGTTCTGGCCTTCGCCTGAAAGAGGCGGCATTTGGGTGATGTTGTTCTTTGAGGAGCCGCCAAAGCCGCCAAAGTCGCCAAACGCGCTCGCACCCGAGTCGTTGTTGCTGCCGCGGGACCTGCTAAAGTCGACGGCTGCAAAGGTCGAGGCAGTGGGGGAGGTCATGGTGTCGTTCTCCTCCTCTTCTTCGAGACGCTGCATTGTGGATTTGGTGAAGCCGCTGCCGCTGCTGGGGGAGGTGCTGAAGGGGTTGTTGCCGGGAAAGGTGTTCTCGGCACGGCCCTGGGGACTGGAGTGCTGTTGCGACAGCAGATATTCGGTTCGCTGCGACTCGAGACGGCGATTAAAGAAGTTTGCGCAGAACTGGAGGATGTCGTGGGGCTTGTGTTTGAGAATTTCGCGGTCGAGGGTGGAGATCTCGTTGGAGTAGTCAGGAGGGAGGGACATGAGGGCGGTGGTGGTGAGGGGTCAAGCGCAGCTCTTTGACGTCGGTCGCGAGACGTGCAGGGATGGAGGCAGTAGAGCTGCGAGGGTCCGGACGTAGCGTCAGCGGCAAGACGGGCAGCGGGGTGGACAGGTGAGGTCTAAACAGAGTGTATTGGGGAGTAAGGAACGCAATTGCACGCTGCAGGCTGTGGCTGTGGTCGCAGTAAGCGCGGTGAGGATGCGTAGGAAGAGGGGACTGGTGCGGGAGGGGATCACGAGTGTGGGATGGCGGGCAGGGCAGTCACTGGTAAGGATCGAGGCAAGCTTTCCTGGGGCTTATTATCTTCCAGAAGCCCTCTAGAAACACGCGCACGCTGTAGGCACCCACTGCGACATATAGGCGACGGCTGCCCGCTCTGGGGGATGCAATTGGATGCCACCCGCATTGCCTGTCGTGACTCAAACGCTCAATGCGCTCTCGTAGCCACCGTGTAGGACAGCTATGATAGCTACCAGGCCGCCGATGCCAATCAAGCTGTGCTTTAGCTCCCGCCCATGGCCTGCTCGCAGACTGCATCTTGCACTAACAATATGCCACACCTGAGTCGTGAACTGTCAAGATAGGACAATGGATGTAGGCAGGTACGGCTCCAAGCTGTGATTTACAAAGACTGCCATCGATTCATGTTCTCACACGCGCTTAGGACAGTTCTAGTTGCCGTGTTGACTTGGTTGCTGCATCGCAGTCGTGCTCGCGTCATCAAGTCGCGCACGCCGTGGTGCGCGTGCATTGTTCAGTTACTGCACTGCCAACAAGAATATTTCGGGTGGAAGCTATTTATCCCAAGTAAATAATTCCGTAGTGAACGCCGTCTTCCATCTTTCGCAATCAGTGCAACGGGAATTGGTTTCGACGATGAAGCATGACATGGATACGCGCAACCTTGTAATTGGCGGTGAGGCACTCAAACGCGGCGTAGGCGATGCGGTGAATCCATCCATGAATATGTTGAGACGCGCGGTGCAGCAAGAGGACGAAAACTCTGATAAAGAGGCGTCCCGGAGGGTATTTGAGATATAACGATAACAGAGACTCGTTGTCTGGTACCTAGGTACCACCTATGGGTAGCAGCTGCTCACGTGCGAACCCCGGAATTGCCCAGCTATCCCGACCGGACATGGCGATGACGCACAAAGCCGGCCATGTGAGGTGCACGAGCACGTGGAGCAAAACTGGAGGGGCCGTGATGTATTTGTGGGCTGCGAGAGGAAGCGACCGAATAAGAATTGCATGCACGGCATAACTCGAGGGTGCACGCGGAGCTCAGAATTATGTAGAGTAGCTGCAATTGAGCACCACGCCAGTTGCCTTTCGTCATTGCACATGCTGGCCGTCGGTCCCGCGTGTTCTAGGGCTCGCGATGAACGGCATCACGCCAAGCTTCCCTGCCGCTAACAGCGCCGTCTTTAATCTTGCAGATTCCGTGCAATATCGCGTCCAAACAGCCCTCCAGCCTCGCCAATTCTGCATCTAAAAGTCGTCGCGCTCCTTGACCCTCTGCGCTTGTGTATTGTCTCCGCTTCTGTTGGTCTGACGAAACAGTCGCAAGCTTCGTCGCCCCAAACTGTCCGAGCGCGCACTGGCACTGGCTTGATCCTCAAGCCGCAAGCTAGCTCCACCCGAACGCAGCTCCTGATCCTGACTTACCAACCACCTCCACAACTGAACTACTCCTCCTCCCTGCGCCCAAGACAGGTCTTACTCCCTACTCCCACTTTTGCAATCCCTGATTCACGTCCATCGCTGCGCTGATATGGGCAAATATACCTTCACCTGGTTCGTTCGCGACTGCCTCAAGTCGCCCATCGCAACTGCTTACACGCGCGCAGGGAACACTCGGCCAATGAGGTCTTCGTGACTGGCACCTTCGATGACTGGAGGAAGACGGTCAAGCTAGAGAAGGAAGATGGCATCTTCAAGAAGACTGTCGAGCTGCCCAAAACCCACACCCAGTACAAGGTACGCAGCCGCCCATCGCATAGCATCGGCTGCCCCGTTTGCGCAAACTTTGCTAACACGTCTCCCGCAGTTCGTTGTGAATGGTAACTGGTGTACCAACGACAGCGCGCGCAAAGAAGACGACGGTCACGGCATCATCAACAACGTCCTCCTTCCCGAAGACATCGTCGACGAGGAGCCCGTCAACACCATGTCTTCTGCCGCGCCCGAGTCCACAACCGCTGCGCTAGCCGGTGCCGTGCCAAAGGAGAGCGAGAAGGAGGCCAAGACCAATGCATCCAACTCCCCTGTACCTGGCGCCTTCCCTGAGACACCCTACGCAGAGACACCTGGCAGCGAACCGCAGACCTTCAACGTCGCGCCCATCCCCGCTACCTCAGGTCTCGGCAACCCCATTAAGCTTGCGCCTGGCGAGCCCGTTCCTGAAGCGAGCACCCTTACAGATAACACTGTAGACTCGACTGTCAAGCACGACAAGGAGCTTGAGCAGGAGCCATCAGCACTCGGCATCTCGCCGCTCCCGGCCACCGCAGGTGCTGGTAACCCCATTCACCTTGCGCCTGGCGAGAAGGTGCCAGATGCCAGCACCTTCACTTCCAATACCGTCGACAGCACAGTCAACACCGACGCCTCATCTTACGACAAGGCCGATGCTCTTCCCCTACTCGCCTTCACCCCTCAAGCTGAGCGCGACGCTAATGGTGGCATGTTTGGCATTCCTCCAGTCATGGGCAACATGATTCCAGAGTCAAGCCTGCCAATGGGTGTAGATGCCAAGGTTGAGCAAGACACCGGTGTCACGATTCAGTCCTCAGCCCCCCAGAGCACCACCGCCCAACTTGCCGGCCAGGTTCCCAAGGAGCCTCGCGGTGTCCCCGAGACCGTGACTGACAGCCAACAAGAGGCCCACGTTGACCCTGAGGCGTCCGCCAACCCAGAAGCCGTTCAGGACAAGAAGGAGGTCGAGCAGGAGTTGAAGGAGAAGGTATCCGAAGCGCCTGCAGCCAGTGGAGATGCTGGTCTGAGCGACACTGCCAAAGCGGCCGCTGCTACTGCTGCTGCAGGCGCCGCTGCTGGTGCGGGTCTCTTCACTGCGGCCGTCTACTCTGCCAAAGAGAAGGCCGCTGAGGCTACTAGCATGACTGGTCCCAGCACCAGCACTGCCGACGAGGTTCCCTCCATCGTCGCTGAGAGCCAGAACACAGCCCATGCTGAGCCAGAAGCAGCAGCTAGCCCTGAGGTTGTTGCTGAGAAGTCGGTAATGGAGAAGGAGCTACTCAGCGAAGTTCCCAAGACCAACGAAACCGGAGAGCCTGCCCCCACTATTGCCAGCGCCACCACCACTGCTGCGGAGGACGTACCCTCTGTTGTCGCTGAGAGCCAGACCGCAGCCCACGCTGCGCCAGAGGCGGCCGCCAGCCCTGAGGCTGTTGCTGAGAAGTCGGCTATGGAGCAGGAACTACTCAGCGAGGTTCCCAAGACAACCGAGACAGGTCTCCCTGCCCCGGCTATTGCCATCCCAGCTGTCGTTTCCGAGAGCCAGAAAGAGGCACATGCAAGCCCAGAAGCAGCATCCAGCCCCGAGGTTGTCGCAGAGAAGACCGCTATGGAGTCTGAGCTATTGCGCGAGGTTCCTAAGACCAATGAATCTGGTGAGCCAGCACCCGCTGTCTCCGCTGCCACAGCTACCACCGCTCCTGTAGCTCAATCAGAGACTGTTTCTCGCGATGTACCCGAGGTTGTCGCTGATAGCCAACACGAGGCGCATGTTAGCCCCGAGGCTGCTGCTAACAGCGAGGCTGTTGCTGAGAAGTCAGCCGTAGAATCTGAGCTACTTGAAAAGCTTCCAAGATCCGATGAAGCGGGTGAGCCAGCTCCAGTACTGACTGCTGCGACTACCGCGACTGCACCTGTCGCTGCTGCTGCTGCTGCCGCCACTGCAATTCCATCTGGCACAGCCACTGAGTCTGTCAATGAAGCCGTCGCTCGTGAGGTCCCCAACGTTGTCGCCGAGAGCCAAAGGGAAGCCCATGCCAGTCCTGAGGCCGCCACCAACGCTGAGGCAGTTAGCGAGAAGCGTGCTATGGAGACTGAACTTCTTAACGAAGTAAAGTCGACTGACGCTACTGGCGAGCCCGCTCCCAGCGCTGCTGCCGGCCTCTCTGATGAGGCTCTTGTTGACTCCAAGCCACTCAAGTCTTCTAGCGAGCCTAATGCTCTCAACGCGCCCGCATCCGAGCCTGCTCAACCACCGAACGCTAAGCCCATCGATTCCAGCACCGACGTTGCATTCAACAAGCAAGCGCCAACTACCACCGAGCAGACCCAGCCAACCGTCACCACCGGTGTAGAAACAAGCAAGACTGAGGCTACGAGCTCCGCCCCAGCTGCACAGCTGGCACCAGAATCTCCTGCCAAGAACCTCAGGAAAGACTCAGACGTATCTCCCAAGGGCACACCTGGTAGCCAGAGCATCGCTTCTGGTGCCGATGACAAGAAGAAGAAGCGTCGCTCTTTCTTCGGCAAGATCAAGGACAAGCTTTCCAGCAAGGACAAGCACTAGATGGATTATCCGTTTCTTGTCTGCACATTCAGGCCGTCTTCATCCATCATGAGGGTCTTTGGAGCTTCGTAATACCCGGGGTCCATGCGCTGTGCTTCCTACCCCTCCTGTTCATCGTTCGTCGCGGAGTTTGTGCTTTTGGTCTATACCATTTCCTTCCTGTGTCTGACATGTTCCATAGCAATCTGTTGCGTCATTTCTGTTCATATGCATCTCGAGAAGCAGGCGAGCTTGGGGTAGACGAAAGAGATTGCAGTCATAATATACCTGGGTTAGTTGGGATAAGTTGGTCAATGTCAAGAGATATGGGATGTTGACAGACCAACGGGATTGTATTTAATTTGCTAATGATGATGGGTTAGAATCGCTTCACAATCATCTCTTTCTACTCTCATCGCTTTTCTTAGCCGTCATCAGCCAAATGGGCTTCACCCTGATCAAGCGATGTATTCGAAGCGACTGACGCTCTGTGAGGTCAGATCAAATTCCCAACGCCGTCCAATTTGGCGTCACCGACGGCATGTATTCACTGCATGAATTACTCTCATCTGCAGAGACTGTGTTCATGGCAGCACTGTAAACTCACTTAGAACTCACCAGTACTGTACAAGAAGATCCCTTATAACCAACCGTATCATAGCACAGTTCTGCAAAGATTATTAAAACAACCGACAGCCGTTCAACTGTAACAACAACACAAGTTTTAACGTTGACAAAAGCTCGAATCAAAGGTCAAACGAATGATCCAACACAGTAACACAATCAACGCGAAAACCAGTCATACTATGTTACACCGTCCTTCCTCTCGAGGCACTGGGAATCGGAACACCCAGATTTCACAGCAACAATGTGATCAGCATAGCGCTCTAAACAACAATCAGCATCTCGAACCTCCGCGTTACATTCGAGCCCGCTACGGGGCTGCAGCGGAGCTATCTCAGATGATTGACGAACATGTGGCATCGTGGCAATTCTCACAAGCGTCAGACGATCGACCGACGAGCAAAGGTACCGTGATCGTCGATTGGGATGGTAGTGGGCATCCCGCAATTTCTTACCGAAGAAGGGCGACTGTGGTAGAAGAGGTTTTAGTGCCTCAATTGGCACCCGCTCCCCTAAACCACAAAGCTAGCAGCTTAGGAAAGGCGTATGCAAAGCAGGGCCGCAGGAGTGCGGCGGCCTGTACGCAGAAGCCCCTACCATCTCTGCCCACAGATGAACGAGTCTCTAAGCAAACTAAACGCAAGCCCTTGCCTGTCGGAACTTCTGGTCCTTTTGTGCGGCACGACTCTGTCATTTCAGAAGCTTCAAATCCATCGCGGCGCCAAGCTCAATACTTCGCAGCTCCCCCATCGATTCAGTCACCAGTAGACCCTCAACACGCACAGTATGCAACTGGAGATGGCTTTACAGCTGACTATCACCCACCTCGCTACTCCAAAACTCTAGACTCACTCTGCCGTCCCTATATAACAGGCTACGACCAGATGACACGTTTTAGATATGACTATGATGGGCATATCTTCCACGCGCATCGTTCTCCATCAAACTCCATCTCGTCTCCCCGCTGGTCCGCGCATTCAGATTACTTTGGCGGCGACGTGGATGAATATGACCCTCAAGCAGAATTGCGCGTCGAAGATAAGGAGCTCTTGTCTTTGTCGGCTGGGGAAGGCCGAAAAAGACATAGTGTGGGTAGATTTGTAGAAAAAGTTTTGTTTAAGCTGAGTGGACTGGGATTGATGGAAAAACTGAGTTGTGATAGGAAGGCGGCTAGAAAGGGAGGGACCTCTTGGCAGGAAGCCGGGTATCATACTTGACAATTAATTGCTAATCTTTTGAGCATGCGATTCTATGATGAGGTCTTGGTGGGAGTGATTTGTATGCCACTAAGGATTAGTTGTTGTGCTCGTTATGGTTGCAAGTGAGTGGAAATGACTCATTGTGGCTTTCGAGCAACTGCGCCTCGTCTGAGCGGACACGTGACTCAGTATTGCACATGCGCTCTCTCAAATGCCAGCCTTCCCATTCTTACTATATAACACATTGATGCCTCAGTTGATCCGATCAGCAAGACTGTTTCCCATCACTCTTTCGCCTCAATACGAGAAGTGGATTTAACCCTCCCACCACAGACTCTTCATTTTACCTACCTCGAGACTTCCCAACAAGCAATAAAAAAGGCGACGAAAAAGATGGCTTCAGAATTGCGGACTGTGTTCCCATGTAACACATGTTCTCTTACATACACAACAAGTGCGCTCCAGCGTGCACACATGCAACAGCCTTGGCAGTAAGATGGCACTGAGCATAAAAATTAGTATTCACAACACTGACAGTTATGCACAGTGTGTACAACCTCAAACGCAAGGTAGCTGGGTTACCATCTATGACTGAGCAAGAGTTCGAGGTGCAAGAATGCAAGAGCGAAGAAGTCACACACCGACCAAGAAACAACGATGATACTATGTTACGGAAGCCGCGGACAATATTGTACAACGACAACATCAAGAAGGACACCAATTCCGAAGCCTATGTTGAAGGCATACCTGATGATCATTCCGAGAAGACGCCTTCAACACAATGTCTCTTCTGCCCTTTCCTCACTTCCACTTATACAACAGCCCTAGAGCACATGTCCACCCACCATGGCCTCTTCATCCCATCGCTCACAGCACTTTACTCCCTGGATTCTCTGCTCTCATACCTAGCATTAATAGTCTTCGAATACCACGAATGTCTATACTGCGGACAAGAGAAAGCCACTGTCGAAGCTGTGCAAACGCACATGCGAGACAAGGGACACTGCATGATCGACATGTCTGAACTCGGCGATTTCTGGGATTTCGAAGCAGATCAAGAGAATAAGGATGGCCAGACAGGTGCGACCATTACAAGGCTCCCAAAGACGGAGAGACGTCTGCCATCCAAATTGATCATCAATTCTCGACACAGTCGTGGTGATGAGACAACATCGAAACCTATCAGACGAAGACACGCACATTCACGGCACTTGTCCAACAAAACTGCTGCCATCGCTCAAGCAGAGCACCAAGATCAGGACACTCCAATGAAGTCATCATCAAGACAACTAGCTTTGAGAACCACTGACAATGACCCTCATCTCATCACCACCCGGCGTGCAGCACAAGGTCTCGCTGGTCTCTCGGACCACCAAATCCTTGCACTTCAGATGGTGGACAGGAAGATGAAGAGTAGAGAAGAAAGTGCGAAGGCAAGAGTACGGTATGCGGCACAACAACAGCCAGTGAAGGCTATGTATTATAAGACGGAGAACCCAGTATACCAGGCTGGATGAATGATCAGGGTAGCGTAAGAGAGGCATAAAGTGATGGCGCAGCTTATACATGCTGTCTTGTAAATTATTGAGTGTAATGCACAGAAAGCTTATGGACTATACGCTTTGGAACAAAACAGTGTCATGGCTTGGAGATGGAACTTTACTGAAGAAGCATCACTGTATACATACGTTCCAAGTCTACTACATTGCTAATCTAGCAGCTACGCGCTATGATTACCAAGAACGTGTGATGTATCCGAAAACACATGAAGACGGTAAAATTCTACATCTACTTCTCCTTTAAGAAGTCAAGGTATCCTAAGAGAAGCCACGCGTGCGTGTCTACAGATCTGATCCATCACGCTTGCTGATCCACAGGTTCAGATCAGCGCCATCAATGATACAAAGATCCTCGTCAACCTCCATGGCATCATCATCCCTGGCCGTCATCTCTTCAACCTCGTCCTCGTATGATTGATCCGGCTTCTCTAAATTCATGACTTTGAAGTCGCTCAAATCGCCAATGTCGAATACTTCCACATGCGAACCGATGTCGCGGACACCAGGCATAGCAGCCACGAGACCTTTTAGTAGAGCGTTGCCTCTGCAGTGCTCATGTATGCGCGAGGACTCGTATTAGAAGGTGGGAAGCTCCGTAAGGTTAAATACCGATGCAGACGGTTCATCAGCGGCTGCACCTGAACCCTTCTTGTTCCTTCCCTTGCCCCTAATCTTCTTCTTTTTTCCCTTAGCCGCGGCGAGATTGATGTCCTCCAAGCCACCCTTAAAGGAGAAGTCGAAGAGCGCCTGTGTATCCAGCCTAGTTTTATCCTAGTGGGGACTGTTGCGGACTTGGGCCAGGTATTGAGTTGTGTTAACCTTGAGGGCATCCGTGCGCTTCTGACCAAGGACGATGAAGTGTTCAGGATGCTGTTTAAAGTGCCAGACGAAGCGCAACATATGTTTTGTAGGGTTTGCGGGGTCAAACTGTGGGCCCAGGGCGGCGTGACGGTCATACTCCATGCAGGCGAGTGTGTACGCGACCTGGAGGGGCGTGTCGCTGTTATTGAGGCGGGCAGCAAGGTTGGCGAGTAAGCGGGTACGGGTTTGACGATGGTGTTTAGAGAAGTTGAGATTAACCTCTACTGAAGAACAGAAGTAGGCAAGAATCATCTGCTCATTCCATTCTTGCATGGGAACGTTATCTTTGAGGGCGATCATGATGTCGCCTCGGTGTTTGAGGATGCGGGCGAAGGTCGCACCTTCGTTGACATTGTCGCTGTCGCGCTATTAGAAGAAATAAAGAAGATAGTCAGAAGACTCACACTTGATGTGGGAAGAATTGATGCTGCGTCGAGGGCTCAAGGATAGTATCGAGAGAAAGAGTAATGTGAGGCTTTACACCGGCTGAAATATACTCCGTTTTACGGCGAAGCAGCTCTGCTAGAGCAGCCTTATCGTCGAAGGTGAGCGACGGTAACATTGCCGTGGCGGTGAACACTGAAGCGGTATGGACTGTGGTAGTGGCAGTGGCAGTGGTGGTCAATATAATCGGATCGCGAGAGAAGATGATCAGGGAGACAGAGAGAGGGCGAAGCGCAGGTTATATACTAGCTAGTGGCTACAAGACCAGGTGATCGCGGCATATGCTATGGCTCTGTCACCTGCTGCAAGTGAGGTAGACAAAGTGAAAGTAAACGATATGTTACAGAGAACAGCAGTAACACGACATTTCACAATACAGATAAGGATAACATCCGTATCATAGTAGAATCGCTATCGAGAACAAGGAGAATAAAAAAGGAGGAGATTCTCTCGCTTGGTTAGCTCCAAATATAAGAGCAAGAAAATGGTATTTGATATTTGAAGCGGCTTCTGCCATCTCTTGAGTGCCTAGGTAGCGCCTCTAAAGAGATGACAGACCCTGTCGGAGCGGGGGCTCAAACCAGCGACCAAGTCCAAGCCCCCTACCTGTTTAAGTGACTAAAGCTGTTATCGATGGATGGGGTACTTAGACTATAGCTGCTGTGTTGGTCAGTGATTGTAATCCTGGAATATCACCTTTAAATACCCACCCCAAAGCTAGATCACAATATTCATAGAAGTGACAGGCGTTGATAGGGCGTCTGAAGGCGGTCGCTGCGCGGTTACAGGTCAGGTGAGTGAGCGACACCTGAGTGAGTGCGTAAAGCGCAAACTAAACGAGAGGATCAAGCCTCCCAAGCATCTGATGAGGGAGCTCAAACCAGAAGTCGTCCAGTGAGAGAGCATCGTTTGAACTCCAGTCAGGACGAGACTGGAATATCGTGAAGGAAACCCCCAATTTCATGGGAAGCAGAAGACAAAGACACAGGACCAGGAGACCAAGTGAATGGTATACCTCAAGCTCTGAGCCTCAAAGAAGAATTGAGAGTATCGACCCGTCAACATTGCGAGGTAAGAAGCCAACGACCGTAGCGAGTAAGAACAATGATAACAGGAGAAAGACGGATGAATGGAAACACCTGGCTGCAAAGTGCCTCGAGGCTTACGTTGGGTGGTAATAGAACCTACAACAGCGTCTATGTTGCACGTAGGCTGTGGAGAGAAGGGACACGCCTCGTCGTGAGAAGACCCAAGAAAACAAGTAGCAGTGTACAAACACGAAGCGTAAGCATAGAGTTATGGGGTAGATCAGATAACGCTTGGCGTGGGATAGTGTGTAATATGAGATGTGGTGAGGATTGAAGCTATGATGTTGTGAAGAGTCGTGTCAAACTTCGCGCACCATACCGCTTTGAAGATAGCGTCTCCTGTCTTGCACGTTGCGTCGACGAACTTCACAAACAACTTTACAATGTTACCGTCTATGTTTTATCGATATTCGAGAATAATATGTATGACGGTGCGCTGGTATTATGTTGCTATTAAGGCAGTATCTATTCTCTTGTAATGCCTCACACTGTTGCCGACTTTCCGCTTGAGTCTGTCATCTCCCGCCTTCCTTCGCACATTGCACTTGCTCAGACAATTAGGCATTATCTCACAAGTTACTTGCACCTTTCTGGCGCCCTGAAGCGTTTGAGATTTGTGACAAAGTGTATGGGTCGAGACCTAGCACTATGCGATCGTTCCTTACAACACTTTGTAAAATCACGCTTTCCCACGTGGTAATGTTCTCAGCACAAGCAGCGCTCGCATCAGCCATAGATTACTCGATACTGTTGGTGAAGCTCTTAGCGTGATAGATGTACAAGAGGTGAGGCTCGAGCTACAGTTGTGAAGACTGTTGCGTCATGTCCTTGTTCATCTTGTGGAGTCTGGGGTTGTGAGATTACGAAGCACCTACACCCAGATCACGTAGACATTCATCTTGTGCATTTGTAGGAATCCTATCGCATCCTTTTGTTTATTACCAGTTCGGATTTAAGATGCGAAGCTTCGAGGATTCTGCCGCCATGCCTTGGCAGCTGACATATGCTCTCCCATTTGCCAATAATCGTCGGGTATTCCAGACTGCTGCATAGCATCTGCTTGACCTGCACATCAATTGGCACTATACATGCATGTACTCGGAACAGGTAGCCGTCAGATGAAATATCTGTAGTGTAGTCTTCCAAAATCAGGGTGATGAAGCTAAAGGGCCGAACAGTTTCGGTGATGTAGCGCAACCATCGGACGGGCACCCCGGCACCGCCTACGTCATTGACCCTTCACCCAGAGCCGCATCCACGTTCTGACCAGGAACCACGTCTATCGCTCCACACAATCGGCACATAGACAGCCCTATCAGTCGGAGGCAGTCCAGACACGTCGCACTATTGCGGACGTATCGGCTTTCCAACGCAAATCTGATAGATAGGCCGAATCTCCCCGAGATGTCTGTCGAACTCCGGATCTGACGCGCCCAACAAGTTGCATCAGTGTCCGCCTGCATGCTATACTAAACAATGTGCAGTCGCAAGAGCAAGGTCTTCTGCTTAATAAACAGCTGACTGCGTCAAGGCGATACTATATGAGTCTGTGACTATACCAGAATTGGTAGATCCAGAAACTGTCATGTTGGAGATGCGACCCACAAAACCACGTTTTTTAGCGGCGGCCGATGCACCAAATGTGTGGGCAACGGCGATATCCAGACCCTGAACCCGGAAAACCCTATGTATTATCAATAGGCGACGTCATGCAAGAGAATCTTTTCGAACGTAGCTTGAGATGCATGGCAGATGTAAGAATGAGCTGTAGGTTCATTGTGTTCATAACTAAGTATATAACAGTAGGTCGCAGCTGCTGTTGAGAGTCCATCAAACCACTGAACATCAACTTTTTATCCCTTTTGCAACAAGATACCCAAAAGTTTTCTTATTACATCACCTCTTAAAGTATATTACATTACATCTCAAGACCACCAAGATGCCTTCCTTCACCGTCTACAAGGGCTCCAAGGACAGCAAGATTGTCAAGGGTCAAACTACCAAGCCTGACCTTCAGGATGACCAGGTCCTCATCAAAGTAACCGCCTCCGGTCTTTGCGGAACTGATGAGCACTACAAGGAGGCCGACATGGCTCTCGGCCACGAGGGTGTCGGTATCGTTGAAGAGCTTGGTCCCAACGTCAAGGAACTGAAGAAGGGTGACCGTGTCGGATGGGGATACGAGCACAACTCCTGCGGCCGCTGCGACCAATGTCTTACAGGCCGTGAGACCTACTGCAACCAGCGCGAGATGTACGGCTCACACAACCTCGACCAGGGTAGCTTTGCTTCCCACGCCGTCTGGCGCGAGTCTTTCGTCTTCAAGGTTCCCGATGAGTTGAGCGACGCTGATGCCGCACCTCTGATGTGCGGTGGTGCTACCGTATTCAACGCCCTCCACACCTACAACGTCAAGCCTACCGACCGCGTTGGTGTCATGGGTGTCGGTGGTCTTGGTCACTTGGCCATCCAATACGCCGCCAAGATGGGCTGCGACGTCGTCGTCTTCTCCGGTTCAGACAACAAGAAGGACGAGGCCATGAAGCTCGGCGCAAAGGAGTTCATCGCCATGAAGGGAAAGACTGAGATTAGCGTCAGCCGCCCCGTTGACGCTCTCCTTGTCACCACCTCGGTCATGCCAGACTGGAAGATGATGCTTCCCGTCCTCAACTCCAACGCCATCATCTTCCCCATGACTGTCTCCTTCGATGACTTCGCTATCCCCCACATGGGCCTCATCTCCAAGGGTATCACCGTCCAGGGTTCCGTTGTCGCCGCCAGGGCTGTACACCGCAACATGTTGGCTTTCTCCGCGCTACACGGCATCAAGCCCATCACCATGGAGTTCCCGTTGACCGAGAGCGGTATCGAGGAGGCTATGACCACGCTGAGGGATGGAAAGATGAGGTACCGTGGTGTTCTTAAGCCCCAGTAGATGGATGGGTTTGCACTCGTGATGGGATAATGGAAGATTAATGAACGGAGTATGACTAGAAGATACCGATGATAGATTTTACGAATCTCATATGTTTGAACGTACAGTTATTGTCCCTTGTCTTGTGATGACTGAGTCGTGACATTTGCTCATCAGTAGCATCTTTCGAAAGTATCGACTTCTTCATGTTTATTGAGTGATTATGAACCAAATTGCTTCCAGGAGGCGTGAGAATTTTCGCGGTTTCTCTTTGGAGCCATGCAGCCTCAGGTAACCAGTTCTGTCATTCACCGCTCATTCCACCACATGCAGCTACTCAGGAAACAAACGGATAAGAACAGGCAACATGTCTTCAGGCTTCATCCTCTGCACCATCGTGATCGCATACCTCATATCAATGACCGGCGTACCTTGAACCGCAGTCATGCCACTCCTAGTTTCCGCTTCGGCTTGTTTCTTGGTATGCTTGGTATGTGAAACATACGGAGAGAGAAGTGCCTCTAGTAGCCCGTTTCCATGCGACTCTTTGCCTTCGCCCTGATCTTTGGGCGCTGCATTTTCCATATCGATGTCTCCGTCCCTGGCCTTCTCCTCACCCCTCCTCTCCCACGCACCCACACCTTGGTCTTTTCTCCCAGGTATCAACCCCCCAACAAACTTTCCTACCTCCCTATCATATCGCTCCTTGCCCATCTGTTTCTTTGCAATAGCCAACTCAGCCTCCCAATCCTTACTCAAAACCTTCATAGCATTCTTCATCAACTTCTTCTGCGCACCGCCAAAAACTGTGAACAAGTCCCAAGGGCCCGAGTTCCAGGCTCGAAGAAAAGATTCGCGAGCGGCAAAGCTGGAGGTAGGGGTGTTGTGGTGCTCGAGAATGGCGGTGAGATATTGAGTTATGAAACGAATGGCTGCGGAAGGAAGGGGTTTGTATGTGTCTTTGGTGTTGCGCGGGTTGTAAGAGTCCTTGCTGCTGTGCCCATGATGGATCACTCGTACTTCACTGTGAGAAGAGTATTTGTTGCTGCTTACTTTCGAATGTTGAGCTAACAGCGCGACGTAAATCGCGGTGTTCCATCGCACAACGTCGTGAAAGCGTTGGAATTGATGTGCTTCGTCGAGTCTATAGAACCAGATCGCCCGTGTTATATCAAAACTCTGTTTGTCGTCGTCTTTGATCGCCTTTCCGGCGTAGTTATCGATCGTGGCGCGGTTCTGTAGGAAGAATTGGAGCTGGATGCCTGGAGGTATATTTGCAATGTTTAGCGCTCGTGGCGTTTGATCAAGTATGTCGCTGAGGATGAGGCTAGGGAGATGGTGATTTGGTACGCCCTGAAGTTTCGTCTTGAGTAGTAGTTCCAATTCAGCTTTCTTGGAGTCATCAAAGTCAAAGCCATGTGTGTTTCGTGCCAAGACGACGGTGGTGGTTGGCATCATGGACTTGTGTGTTCGATAAAATCAGCAGCGGGGGTGAGTGTATTACCGTTATGATTGATGGAAATGTGACTGTCCATCTTGAGCGGCGCTCAGGCTGCCATGGCGCAAATCCGTTCGTTTGTTGAGTGGGGAAATTGGTAAGTGAAGGGCGGGAGCATGCATACTCTCGAGCGCCTGCACACCGCTGCACATTGAGGAGCAAACAAATGATGCCCGCCTCCCGCATCATGGAGTGGAAGAAACAACACAACGTATCGATCGTGTTCTGCCCTTCAATCCATGTGTGTTCTTCACTTTCTCCACTTGCCACAACGTGGTACACAACAACCAAGTACAAGTAACCAGAATAGTCTTGAGAATTGGGTAGTGTGCCGACGGGGCGTCCTGAACCCATACGCTTGAACCATATGAGCTCATGCGCTATTAGGCTTTTCTGTACAACTTTGAATATCTTTAGTAGAGACAACCAAAGTCTGTACTTGTGTCTAGCGTCCGGCCATATTAACAGTCGGAGTTCTTTGAAAGTCGTGAGAGTATGTGCAACGTCAACCGATCTATGTGAGCGTTCAGTTAGAAGATGGAGATGAAGGCTGCGTAGACACGGTAGCTGTGGCGCCTGTATACGACGTGTAGTACATAGCATTACCCGCGAGAATACAACAAAGAGATGTAAGGGAAGGAAGGCGGCTGTGCCAGGTATCAGATTTACAACAGCTGTGTAACATGCAGGGTGTGATAGAAACCTCCGAGATGGTTGTCGTTCAAGTTGAATATGTTGAACCCTATCCAAGATTGAACACGTTTAGGAAAGCCATTTACCATCCACATCCTGACCTGGAAAGGAATCGTAAGATTGGATGCAACGATGTATCTTCACAAGCCACGGACCGAGAAAGTGAACAACAGAGACCAGAAATAGAATGTATTTGCGATTGGTTTTGGAAGAAATAAAGAATGAAGATGATGAAACAAATTGACGAGATTGCATACAGCCTATTGTGAGGCACGTTTAGTCGTTTCGCGAAGCTTCGATCTGGAAGTATTGTACAAGAATGCGCCGTGTCTATAGAATGTTTACTCAGGGTAAGCTGACGGTAAATGTTGCAAGGTAGATGAAGGGTCAGTTTGTTGATGTTGGCCAAACGTGCGGTTACGCGTTCGCGCCCACTTGTTCCAAGGCTGGTGGGGCAGCTCCACCCACAAGCGCGCATGGAAAAGATGACGATCTTCAGGGTCGATCCAGTGCTGGAGGTTAGAAGTTGAGGCTGCGCGCACGATATCGATAGATGTGAGCGGGCCGAGCACCTTGAAGATTTTCTAGACGAGCAGATCCCGTGTTTCAGATGCGGGCGAGACGTTTGTTGATAGTTCGCAGACACGCGTTGCGCAATGTGGTTGAATGACGTCTGGCGCACCACTTGAATGATGATCCTTCGGTGGTACAATGGTGTTGGTGGCTGGGCTAGACATGTTCAGTCAATCGAGGTCCAATGTGAGGAAACAATGATGTGTAGACTGACGACACGTGCGAGCATTACGCAAGCCACGGAAAGAGAAGCCGTAGTGTACAACGCCCAGAAACAGCAGTAGGCGCATGCGGGCGTATAGTCTTGTCCATCTCGATGTAGTGAATCTACGGCTCATTGACCTCGCTGGCCAAGGGCGCCACACTCTGGTCCGCCATGATTGGCTGAGGGGGCTGGGTCGTCTCTATTTGCGTGCATGCGTGCAGCCATCCGCTGGTGCCGAAAGCACGGATGGGGTCGTGGCCAGACTTGGTGTGCCGCAGGATGCCGGATGGCATAATGGCATAATATTAACGTCCTTTCAGGTTGCACCACTGTATAGCTGGCCGGGATGAGGTGGACGAGCGCGTTGAGCGTCTTGTTCGTATAGGGCGCTCAAATGAGAGAAAATACGAAGCGCTGGGCGGACCTGGCTCGCAAACTCTCAGTCAGCGCGAGAATAGGCCTAGAGCGTCGTGTTGATTGGCCAGGCGAGATTGTTCCTGCGTGGGAGTGTGGCGAAGCAGCTTGGCCCCCTGTCCCCTCGCCCCTGCCTCATCCGCCTGTTCCAGCCTGGCGAGGGCAGAAGACGGCCGGATTGAGGGCTGCGAAGGCAAACGTCGTGCTGGAGAGAGTTTGAGAGAAGCAGACGGGCATAGACTGACAGCAGCCTTGCCCTGCCTCTCTCCATGGCACCTCAATCGCAAACTTGACAGCCGTTGGACGACTTGTCTGACTTGTCTGACTGAGGCTGGGCGCTGAGCAGGTGCCGCGCGTATTCATCTGGCCCACTCGCCGCGACCAACATCGTCTCGCTCCCCTGAAGCCGGCACGCGGTGCATAGACCTCTGCTCCTTCAAGCTGACCTCCTCTCACCGTCTGCCCCATTTCTCGCACTCCTCAGGCAACTCCAAAACACCAACGTTGAGTTCGGTGACGACAATAGCCAGCTGATTCGTTTTTATTGGGTTGCGTGCAAGTGCTGATCGCTCCCGTCCGGTCGTTTACATATCCCCTTGGACTAGCGTCGCCCAGCCGCCTCTTCGCCGCGCGCTGATTCCCGGTTTCCTTCCCAGTTGTCCTGCGCAACCACCACTTTCGACATCACCACCGCTTTAGTCGCTCTCGACTGCCACTCGCTCACCCCACACTCACATTCACCCGCTCTCCGCCTGCTCTTCTTCACACCCAGGAACCGCAAACGGACCCTCTCCCCAACCACAACCTCGCGCCGCTGGTTTGGCCGACCTTCCTCCCCGGTACTCGTAAGGAGTACGCCCGCGCCTGAGGCAACTCGATTCCGCGCACCTAATACACCACCACCTCCACCCCAACAACTCCGCCCACCATGAAATTCTCCCTATCCAAGTCGCTGTTATGGCTCGCTGCCGTCGCCGCGCCGCTCGTCTCCGCTGAGCGTGTCATCGAATCCAAGTCGCTCAACCCGTGCATGTCCAACTCCAGCTTCTCCGCCACCCTCTTCAATGTCGCATTCACCCCCAGCAATCGCAGTCTGGGCTTCAACATCGAGGGAATCTCAAACATCGCCGGCAAGATCGAGGCCGACATTGAGCTGCTCGTATATGGATACTCTGCTATGAACCAGAAGCTCGACCCCTGCAGCCAGAAGGAGCTCGAGGGCATGTGCCCCATGAACGCTGGCCCGCTGACCATCAAATCCAACATCGACATTAGCCAGGACGTTATGAGTGTAATTCCAGGTAAGGCGCGCCTTCAACGTCGTGGTTGCACACTTCTGACATGATATAGGCATCGCATACACAATTCCAGATCTCGACGCTGTTGTACGAGTAAAGATTAGGGATGCAGAGTCGCATGTTCAACTGGCATGCGTTGAGGCAGAACTGTCAAACGGGCATTCAGTCGACCAAAAGGCTGTGGCATGGGTGACGGCTGTCATCGCAGGTCTGGGTCTCATGGCATCTGCTATCACCTCTGGACTGGGTCACTCCAACACCGCCGCGCACGTCGCAGCCAACGCCATGTCACTGTTCGGTTACTTCCAGGCACAGGCCTTCATCGGTCTCTGCGCTGTTC